GGACCCCACCATGGCGGACGAATTATTGCCGGTGTTGGCTTTGGAATTGCAAGCGACTGTTATGGAGGGCTCACAGGAGACCACCGTCGTGGTGAGTTTTCGCTGCAAAGAATTGCGCAGGCAAGTTAATTCAACGATATGAGGGAAGGACATGATATCGAATTATAACTTAATGAATAGGTAATGAAGATGATGAAAATTTAAATAATCTATATTAGGGAGTATGGATAGAAAAAAAATGAAAGGGTGCGTCATGGATTTCAATTGGATAATCCTATTCCTTATTTGAAACAAAATCGACAATGTGGAAAATGGGAGGCAAAGTAAAGCTAAGGGAATCCACGCAGGAAAACCCGAAGTTAAATATATTTTTTGTTTTTCTGGTCAGCGTGTGTAGACGTACCAAAATCTTAGACGCGCTGTCATAACAAACAAAGGACATTTCTGCTAATATAGATATGTATTAATTCCATGGAAATTATCCACTTGACAACGAAAGGATTCTATCTCGCTTCAATTTAGGACGCCTTTAATGGCAAGGGGGGAGGTAGCATCAACAAGATATCTGCCATGCCTGTTTTGGTAGACATTGTAGCATGTCCCATGGTGTCGTCTCGGGAATGTTCTTCACCCTCCTCAAGATTAAAACCTTCGTCGTCCGCAGATGTTTCACCCATCGTGAGCACCCGCATCCTATCCACATCTCGGACATTTAGGTAGAAAAGAATGTGCTGCGCAAGCTCCACCGTTCGTCTGGTGCATCTCGAAAGTACTCCTCTATGAACTCGGCTGCCCAAGGCGCTATCGGGAACAGCAAAGAGGGCCTGCAACCCCACACGCATCATAAGAACAAACTTCGAAGGCGTATCAACACCACGACTGTCTTCGGAAAAAAGTGGATGCCCTGAACTTATCATGAACCACAGCACGCGAAGCATCTGATAAAACACATTGTCCACAACAGCGGGGTGATTGACCAAAACTCCCTTGATTGATGACGCGGCATCATGACGACTCTGTTTTTTACTCACTGAATCTTGCTCAGATTTGTCTTCATCAGACTGCTCATTCGCCGTATTGGTTTCTTTTGGAGATATGTGGAGGCGAAGCGCGAAAAGAAATCGAGGCACAAGTAGAAATGTGTCGTGCAAGGCCTGGGCCGTTGCGAAGTTACCTTTCCCAGACTGTTTGCTGTGTTGAATTTCATTGCGTGGCATTTTCCCTGCTCGCTGATCCCGCAAAACTTCTGCCCACTCGACGCTGTCAGCCAGTGTGAGGGGGAACTGCGCAAGACGCACAACAATCGCGGTCGCACAACTCAACAATGACGAGAGAAGGGCGTCCTTCTCGTCATCGGATGCGATTTGTTTGAGATTGCGGCTCTTAGGACGCGCTGAACCCCCTTGCAGGTGTTTTTGGATGTGCTGGATAGTGGCCCGGAGAAGTAGCGGCGCGAAGGGTAGAAATTTCTGGCTTATCTTATCAAACGGTCGCGAAGGTCGTACTGAGTGTTCGGCGACTTGGTGGGCATCCGTTACGGGTTGCCTCCCCTCGCCTGGAACCTTAATCTCGTTGAAATCAAAAGTCCCCGAAGTGGGGAAGGAAGCTTCTGATATTCGGATGAGATTGGGAAAAAGACACAGCGTCAGAAGGTACACTTCAAGTGAACCAAGTAAATGTCGCGAGGAAAGCTGAACTTCGGACCGCGGAGGTGAGGAAAAATGTGACATGGCTGAGAAGGCCGTGTGAAAGTACTGATAGAGACCATTCCATCCCTCCTCAAGTGTGGCGAGTGGTGTACTGACTTGGGCAAGCACAAGAGCAAAATCCACACGATTATACTTCGTCCGTGAGCTAGCCCCAACAGATCCTGAAGACAAATTAGAAAGGAGAGATGACGACTGAACACCATCGTGATCTCGGTTCTCTTTTCGGAGGATCTCAGCGGTTGTAACTGGAACCTTCTGGAAAAACAACTTTTTCACGGTCTGAAGATCAGATTTGGACAGAAAAATCCTTCCGACAGCATCCTTGGCCCCACTTCGTGCTGTCACACCGTCTCGCCGCTCCATTTCTTTTTGCTTCAAAAAAGTCAAAACAATGGCAAAGGAAGACCCCAGCGCAACTGCAGCGAAAAGCTTTTCTTCGTGGCGAAATAACGCGAGTTGCAGTTCCATCAGTTCCTTCCACATGTTTGCCCACTGTGGAAGAAGTTCCTTGAAAAGGTCCAAGACTAACTCGGGATGATGCCAATCGGGCGCAGCACACCGTATCCCGTTAGAGAACGGATAAATCCAATTCGAATCCAATGTGTCGCTCTCTTCCTCATTCGGTACGGATTCAAGAGGTAGCCCGCCTATCACGTTCGCTTCGGTTTCGCTCGACATGAGAAAAACCGAAAGAAGCGCCGGCAGCACGTAGATTTGCTTGGTGCGCAACACCAGCATCGAAACGCGCCGGACCAAGGCCAGTATCCATGTCTGCTCCTGTAGGAAGTTCTGACCGACTTCGCTTGCCTTGGCGTCTGTTTCCCCTACCGCGTGGGGTTGCCGGCGTAGGGTGTGATCGCCTTCGGTAGGCTCAGCTTGGAGGACGAACTGCTGCGCTCGGGAAACCTCTCGGGCGGCTCGACGTAGCGCCGCGGGCTCACCGTACTCCAACAGCAATGCCAAGAGCTCAACTCCGCTCAGGCGGACCGGCTTAAGCGCATGGGTCAAGGTGATATGAACGGTGTGGAGGATGGAGCGAATGTGATCCATCTCCGCTTCACCAACGCCAGGGCTTTGAGCTGAGCTCCCTCGCCGAGGATCCCCAGCCGCGGCGATCACGAGCCACTGGTTACGTAGAATCACGCGAAGACTGCCCAATGCCGCCTGCCGCACCTCCTCCTCTGTGTCCGTCAGAGCGTCCAGTGCAGACATGAAGGCCTTCAATTTTTGCAACGGGGTCACCTCGTGAGGACGGGCATTGTCCCTGTTGTTCGGGACACTAATGGGTAGTTTATTATTATTAGTAGTACTAGAAGTATTAGGGTTATTATTGTTACTTCGGGTGGAAATAAACCCTGCGAACGGATCGAGACGTGCGCGTTTCTGAACGTCGTCAGCCTCTTGAAGGGCTAACAGCCGCGACATTGACTCAAACGCAGACGCGCGGTTGGAAGCTCGGTAGTGGTTCGTATTCGCGAGAAGTTCGGCGAAGCTTCGCGTGGGTAGGACTGCTTTTTTTCCTTTGGTATGTTCGCCGTGATCAAGCTGATTCTCGGAAGAATGGGCGTCGCTTCCGCTGATGCTGATATTTGCACGCGCAATAGAGGCTGCGGTGGAGATTCGCAGCGTCCGCGCGTGAACCTCCGCACGTGTCGCCGTTGCTGGTGCAAGCTTTTTGCGGCCAACTTTCTGGACCCGTTTCTTAAAAGCATCATCGCCCTTCTGCTTCTTTGGCTTTGATCGCACCATAATTTACAATTTTAAGAGGAAATGAAATCTCCTACCCTTCCAAGTTGATACACGTTCTATTGTGTAGTAAAGAAATGAAAGGAAATAATGAAGAAAAAAATATTGCCAGAGTAATATTACTGAAGACTTAAAGCATGCATTCATATGCCTGATGGCAAATAAAAAAATTATCTTCTGCAAAAGTATGGCGACATTTTAATAACGAACAAAGATGCAAAGGTTCAGTGGCACTGCTCATTTTCATTTCCTCATGTCCGCTATTCTAAAAAAATATGGGCCAACTATTGAGGGAGAGTTGATAATGGGTAAAAGGAATAATATTAAAACAACATAAAAGGAGTAATCTCCGCTACTATTTTCATCTAAACACAGCAAATTAAAATTTTAATTAAGTAAAATAGAACTAAAGAAAATAGTATTTCTATTTTTTGCTTTACTGACCCTTTACAGACTTACACAAAAAAGAAAAATAGCGTATAAAACGTTTTCAAAGTGATAAAAAGTAATTACCCATTTTGGGCTATTTATCTTTCGCTTCTTATGAATAGACACGATTACTGGGACCGACATTATTGAAATAATGGGACAGAAGGAAAAAACTATCACTGAAAACGCCTCTTAGTCCTTACAACTACATCATTACCTTCCTTTTGAACGTGAAAACGTATACAAAAAGGAAAACTAAACAAAATCTACTACTAGTAATGAATCATAAACCCGACAAACGAGTTTTTTTTAAAGACTGCATCGGTAGTTTTAGTACTAATTATAATTATTATCCTTCACGAATATTATGGTTTTCCCTCTCCTACAATCTTGCCCTACTCTCTCCCTGGATACAAACCTATTTTAAAACTATTGCTAGATTGCCCTGTATCTATGTATTTATCTATCTATATCTATATAGATATAGATATAGATATAGATGTGTGTGTATGTGTGTGTGTGTGTGTATACTTGTGTGAATAAGTAAATTTAATAACACATATGTCTCTTTGCTTTTAAAAGATTTAAAAAATATTTCCTGCGTTTACTAATATAAATAAGATTATAGATAGTTCTTTTTAATCTGAGGGGTTGTGCGAAATATTTGTATTCCTTCATTACACTAAGGTTGATAAATACTTTTATGAAAATATTCAGCTAATAAACACGCTTGGCCGGTGGGACAAAGTCAATTTCATTGGTTAGCGGCTCCATGTGCACCGGGCGGTACGCTAATCGAACGGACCCCTTTGCATCGTCTAGATATGTAAGAGTGTGCTTCATCCAGTTAATGTCGTCCCGCTCGGGGTAGTCATCGCGCGCGTGCGCACCGCGGCTCTCCTTACGAACCAACGCACCCGTAACGGTTAGCATAGAGTTCGTTAGCAGGTTCCGCAGCTCCAAGGCCTCGATCAAGTTGCTATTCCACACTGGAGATTTGTCATGCACTAGCGCGTGGCTAAAGTCCCGGTAGCACTCTTCGATGATTGACTTCCCTTTTGTGAGACTTTCCTCGGTTCGAAATACCGCTGCGTACATAGCCATCGTCTCCTTCATGCGTTCACGGATTCGCGCGATAGGGATGTCACCTTTGTTATGCAGAATTCTGTCGAGGTCGACGATCGAAGACTCACCCGCGTCGGGCCTCAGATCCGGCTGCAAGCGCTTCTCCTTGGTAAGGTTAAAAATAACCGTGTTCGCGCATGACTTCCCGAAGACGACGATGTCAAGCAGCGAGTTCGCACCAAGGCGATTGGCCCCGTGTACACTCGCACACGCGCACTCGCCGGCCGCAAGGAGCCCTGGTACGATGGCGTCGTCGTCGCCATTGCGTGGGCTGACCACCTCCCCAGTCCACTGCGTCGGGACGCCGCCCATGGCGTAGTGCACAGTAGGCACAACAGGGATCGGCTCCTTTGAAACGTCGACGCCGGCGAAGATGTGGGCGCTTTCCGAGATCCCAGGCAGCTTCTTACGCAACGTATCCGGGTCTAGGTGGTGAAGCTGAAGTAGGACGTGGTCTTTTTTCGCCCCGCAACCGCGACCAGCGAGAATCTCAAGCGTCATTGCGCGTGAAACCACATCGCGGCTGGCTAAATCCTTCGCCTTGGGAGCATACCGTTCCATAAAGCGCTCCCCCTCGCCGTTGATGAGATAACCGCCCTCGCCACGGGAACCTTCCGTGATGAGCACTCCGGGACCGTAAATACCTGTCGGATGGAACTGTACAAACTCCAAATCTTCTGAAGGGAGTCCCGCTCGCGCAACCATAGCGGTGCCGTCTCCGGTGCAGCTCTTCGCGCTGGTTGTAGTAAAGTACATCCGGCCATAACCGCCTGTGCATAAAACGGTGTACTTGCTCTTGAAACGGTGAATGGTGCCGTCATCGATACTCATGGTCATGATGCCACGGCAGCATCCATCCTCCATAATCAGATCTAGCGCGTAGTACTCATTGAAAAAGTTCACGCCGTACTGAAAGGACTGACCATAGAGGGTATGCAGCATGGCGTGGCCAGTGCGATCTGAAGCCGCGCAGGTACGCCGGGCTTGCTTCCCGCCGTAGTGAATAGACTGGCCGCCAAAGGCGCGTTGGTAGATAAACCCGTCCTGGGTCCGCAGAAACGGAAGCCCCATGCTCTCCAGCTCCGACACTACACTAGCGGCCTCCTGGCACATGTACTGAATCGCGTCCTGGTCGCCCAGCCAGTCGGAGCCTTTAATGGTGTCGTAGGCGTGCCATCGCCAGTCGTCCTCCTCGCAGTTCGCGAGGGCGGCGTTGATGCCCCCCTGCGCGGCGATCGTGTGGGAGCGGGAGGGATAGACCTTGGAGATACAGGCCACATCGTAGCCCGAGGCGGCGACGCCCATCGCACAACGCAGGCCCGAGCCCCCCGCCCCGACGACGACGCAGTCGTAGGTGTGATCAATGATGGGATAGGCCCGACTCAGGCCCAGTCGCAATGTAACACGGCGCAGCATGCCTGGCAAAGAGGACAGGACGATCTGGTAAGGTCAGGTAGGAGAGGGTACACGAAACGGAAAGAAAGGGGAGGGGGGGTGGAATCGTGGGGACACAACAGCAATAATAGTAGTAATAGTAGGAAATGTAACAAAATAAGGAAAAACGATGGGCGGTTTAGAGTTTTAAGTGAGGTTTGTGAAGGGGTGTAGGTTCGACAATACCGAACTGTTTGACAAATAAGTAAATACTGTAAACGATAAGAAAAATTATGAAATTGTAAGGTAGCTAATAAGTGTAAGAAATGTATAAAAATAATAACAATAAAAGAAAACGTCTCAAGGTAGCCTTGTGTGGCTTAAAACGATGGAAAATATTGAAATGATAAATACAAGGGTAATAATAAAAATAAACGCCTAAATATGCATACGATCCTTAGAAATTGGGAAAGAAAATACCAACGACAAAATTTTCAAGAAGAAACATACAGAATCAAAGCATGTAAGATGAAAAAAAAAAGAAGAAGAATAGCTCCCCTCGTCATGACAGGGCTCAATATATTCAACCATTAGTAAACTTTGGAAAATGAAATTTTTTGTTTTATTTTACTCTAAACATTGATGGAGTCGCTAGAATCTAAATACAGCAAGATATCCTCAAAGTGTCATTTCCCACCACTTATGGACTTAGACCAACATAAACGTGAGGGTGACAGAAGGTGGAAATAGCGAACCATCCGCTCAGACGAGTTTATTCCACTCCTTCTTATCTACCCACGGCCTGTTATCTAGTGGGCACACCTCCCTTGTTTTAAGCCATCGTTGAATACAGTGTGTATGAAAAGCATGCCCACACTCCCCCCACATCAAGGTGCACTCCCAGGCCGTTGTCTCAGCATCACACTGGCAGTTCACGCAAGGTCCCTCAACTTGATTGCGGCAGATACTACAAATCCCTGTCTCACGCTCCCATGATGAGACGAAGACGGGAAAGATGGTTTCAAGCACAAACAAGGGATCCTTGGATTCACTTGGGGGATCATTGTCATCTAACTTGTCCATTTCGGCCGTGGGAGGATCACACAAGACCTCTAACGACATATTATCCTCGCTCCACAACTCATTCGATTCCGGCGAAGAAGTCATTCTACACTTGATAAATCTCAACCAATTATTGTTGCCCTCTGTTGCTAGTTATTAGTATTATTAATACTTATCTTCAAATACGTATATATATACGTATTGGGTTTAGTATAATGTTTGCAAAAACTGTGAAAAAAGAAGAAAATCTATATTCAATTCAAGGATATTCAGAGTTGAAAAAATGAGTATCACCATCAAAAGAGTTATTGATATATACATTTTATTTTTGTGTTAGTGTGTGTATCATTCCATAGGCTACCAACAATAATAAACTATATAATACAGAACACTATCTTTATGTTCTCGAAATAACAAAGAGACACATCAAATGATCCATTTTGTATAGTAGCTATTATCTTTGCTATGGAAAATTAATAAAAATATCAATAAAGCATTAATAGCAATAAAAATAATTTGACATTTCACGTCATCGTAAAATAATTTAAAAGCATTTATAAAATATGAATGTTCGAGATAATGGAGTATGTGTATCGCTTCTTACATGTTATCAGTCACGCTGTAGGGCTGGTATGCGTTGTCTGCCTTCCGCATTGCCTCAGCAGCTTCCAACTTACGTTGTAAAAGGTCAGCATCTTCCTCATCCTTCTTCAGGCTTTCAGGTTTCTGGGAAGACTCGACATTTGAAGTAATATTCACTTCTTCAGGATGATTTGTCTGATTCTCAGTTTGGGACCCCGGCATCTCAACAAAAGATTACGAATTGAAGAATAATATAAGATGTGTGTATGGGTATTTTATGAAAGATATTATTGCTATTGGGAAGAAAACTGGATTAAGCTTTTGATTATAGAAAACAGTACAAAAATCGTAAGATTTTCTAGCGTAGAAGTGAAAAAAAGAGGTATTGGTTCGCCTTTTTTTTTAAATTTCCTCATACGTTAAAGTAACACACGTTTGCGGAAGAAGGGTATCAATATAGCGTGTTTTTTGTTAAACCAGTATCCTAAACAGAGTCAAATGTTAAACACAAAAACTGATTTTTTTTTGTTTACAGCGTAATTTGAATTTTTTGTCCACTTGTATATATGTGTTACTTGAATTTAACAATGCAACTAATAATATATATAAGAAGCTAAAAGGGAACCATCACAAACACAATTATCCACTAAAGTTACTTCCTCTTCCGTTCTATTTGATTCCTCACCCTTCCCAATCAACCTACATATGTATTTTATTGGTTGTTTTTCTTCCTCTACAAAAAACTACCAAAATAATAAGTATATATAAGCTTATGATCAAATTTTCAATGTGTAAGTTATTTAGAACAACACTACTTTTTGGATCACATGTCAATGCAGACGGAAACTTTGAATAGGATGGAATAAGCTCACCGATGATATTTTAGAGAACAGACACTTGTATGGATATTCAATTTATAAACGATTTTGAATGCAAAAAAAAAAGATATTACCTTATTGGCTCTATAGAAATGGGTTGTTATAACAATTAAAAGGACATGAGTGTATGCTAATAAAAAATAAAATGGAAATTTTGCGCGAAATTTGGAAAAAATATATAATTCGACCTTAAAGGAAATTAAGTCTATAACTCTTAGACAGGTAAAGGACTGGCAGGAATGAATTATCAGCTTTGAAATATTTTAGGATTTAAATTCCAGAGCGATCTCACGCACTAGCCCCGAATTGTTGTATATCAGGCGAATTTTTTAATGCCTTAAGATCCCGAAAGGCCTCGTTCGTCATGCGATCAATGTACTGGCCAATCGTATCACTTTTTTTTATAAAGGTAAGTGCTAGCCCATGCGGACCCAGTTCCCGAGCCACATGCAGCCACGCATACACGGAGCAATCAAACGAAGTCGGCCGCACACCGAAGGTAAATAGGGTTTGGCGAAGGCACCGCTCCAGAGATTGCACAGCGTCCAGAAACTCCTCGTCATGCTTCTTACGCTCCATTTGAGCGTATCCAGCGAAGTCCAACTCCTTCAAAATGGATCTACGTATATTACGCGCTAAAAGAATGGAGCTGAGTGGAAACGCTTTCGTCTCGTTAAGTACTTTTTTCGCGCAATTTTGGTCTTCGATAAAAATTAGGCGGTTGAGGCCGTTGTTAATCCGCGTTTCCACCATCTTCTGCAGCAACCTCCCCGCAGAACGTTCCTGCGGCGTGAGGTGATCATCCATCAACACATTAAACCGTGTTGTCAAGTATTGAATAATGAAGTCACTGCCCGCCAGCGGCATTCCATCGCACACAATAAACGGCATCTGAGTGTTTGGTGAGAGGCTTGAATCATCCACAAGGTGTGCAACATAGGGGATATTGGCCAATCGTAAAAAGGTCTCGATTTTTACGCAGTGTGGAAAGAAGTTTGGCCCACGGGACCAACGGCGGTAGATAAAGAGGTGCACAATACCTGGCTGCAGATCGCCAAAGCTGGATCGAGCGCGCATTAGATGGAAAACATTGAAGAATGTGCGCACAGTCTTGAAAGCAGCAAAACTGCACACAACAGCGCCTATAGCTAGACATATGCTTTTGTTTTTTCCGTAAAAATTCTTGAGCCTTTCAATTGGCTCTTCAAGAAACTGCATTGCAAAAAGTGGTTAACTTTATACTTATTTCAATAAAATAAAAATAGGGTTATAGTGCCTCTCGGTCTCCCTACACCTTGAAAACTTCGTAAGAAGAATTAGAACAAATATCTATATGATAATGACACAGTATACAAGTAAATATATAGAAAAGTACCTGCGTTATACTGTGAATTTATTCGAAATTTCCTATCATAGTATTTTGATTTAAAGAAAAGAAGAGGGATCAAACAATATAAATAACTACAGACAAATTACATTAAGGAACTTCATTGCCCCAACACCATCTCTCCCTTGACTACCTCTCACTGTAAAAGCCTAGTAACTTCAAAGAATAAAATTCAAGCATGAAGCAGTATGTATTTATAAAAGTATGTCAACTACCACACAAACACACCAAGCCACGTTCGCGTTCTCCTCCTAATGAAGATCTGCGTCACCCTCACTCACACCAAGACACTCAGCCAGTTGGTCCAGCATGCTTTCCAGTCGATCTAGAAGCTTATCGACAGAGGCCTCATTATCGTGATCGCCCTGAGGTGAAGTGCACCCAAGAGAAGAAGAAAAAGCAGCTGCCGTCGGTGCAGAAGTCATGTTGGTCACAAGAACTTCTATAGCGGGCGAACCTCCAGGTGAAGTCGACACGACTACGTGCTTTAGCAAATCTTTGCTATACTCCCCCTCTTCCTCACCCCCTGTTAAATCACTGCTGATCGTGTTAGTGGTTGCCGCTTCCATTTGTTGCTTTGTGATCTGCCGCATTTGACGGAGGGCCTCAATCATGTTCGGTGCCCTGCTCGGCTGCTGTGTGGCGTTCAGACGTTGTTGCCGCACATAAGCCTCCTCCTGGCGCTTCTGATCCGCGTCGGACGACGTCAACTGGGAGGACGGCGTGACGGTAGTGTTAGAAATCGCTTGTGCTCGCCTTTTACGCGCCTTTCGATGTTTCCCAGAACGGCGAGCACTCTCACCAATGTCACTTTCCAAGCCGCCCGCACCTTTCGCATCGCTGTTCCCTGCGCCAACACCTCCTCGGTCAAAATCTACACTTGCAACGAGGCCCTCAGTTCCATGCCCGCGCGTTCGAAGTGTGTTGCCTGATCCATCTAAGAGCAACACTTTAACTTTCACAGGACGCTCTTCCGTCGGCCGATCTCGGTGTATCGATTGACCCGCGGCATTCCGCTTTGAGATCTGTCCGCGGTCATCCTTTGGGTCCGTACACCATAGGTGATGACTTGCCGCTATAGCTTTCCTTTTATTTTGTAGGAAAGCCAGCGCTGAAGGCGCACAATTAGTGGCCCCTCGCAAGTAGTCTTCGAGTTGGCAATAAAATTCTGGACGATACCCCTCAGTTGATTGCCCACCAGAGGCAGCAATGTGGGAGGCGGTCGTTACCTTCCTGGCCCCTACCCCTCCCTCCGCGTATTGATTGGGCCCATCGTAGTCTAAATCCGGTACCAAAAGTGCCAGGTTAAAGTGCACCAACGAGAACCCCCGCGCCGCGCCGCCCTCCAGGTCGCGAAGTGGCACCCCCCCTACCGGGGCCACGATCCCCACGAAGGTGTTCCACCGCTGCCCCCTGTCACCGCAGTTAAATAGGACGTTCATTTCTGGCTTGCTGAAGAAGGGCCACAACTCGTCATGGTTCCACCGCACGAGCAGCTCAAGCGAGGCCAGCAAGCAGCCGTAGTTCAAGGCCAAACGGAGCAGGGCCCGGGCATGCACCAGCCTCGGCTGGCCGCTGAACGTGGTTTCGACAATGCGCACAAGTTGGACGGTGAAATTAAGGCGTCGGCACAGACGCTGCTTCGCATCCTTGACGGCATCATCTTCTCGACTACCGCCAGGCCCTTCACGTTGGCCCCCCGTAAGTCCTGAAGACGGGCTTGAACTAACGGCTCCCCCCTCTACACTCTGTGAGAAGGACGTCCGTTTATTGAAGGTGTTGTCCTTCGACTCGGCTAGACGGGTTGGGACGTGCTGGAGGGTCGCTAGAACATCCCACACATCGACATCCCCACGAAGGCCAACAGAGAGCACACAGAGCAACTCCGTTATAAGCTGCTCCGCCGCATCGGCCATGGCATCGTTGGAGTTTTCCAAAGACGCCGCTCCTGCTTCGGGAACCCCACGACCCTGGACATCGACAATAGAGTGGCCTCGCCCATCCTGGAGGACACGTGCAGACACAGAGAACTTGTTCGTGATAACACGTGGATGAATGGAAAGTAGCGCACACACGGATGACTGAAGCGCATTCATCGATAGAGGCAGTGTACTAATAAATAGAACTAAAAGACCCCCACAACAACTTAATAATAATACTAATAATGTGTTCGGGAAAGTACACTGTGCCTCAATTGTGTGCTAACACGGCATTACCAAAAGGCGAAAGTTTCAATAAGAAAAAAAAGGAACACGATCTAAATCGTTTTGCCTAAATAATGGCACTTTATGCACCTTTGTTATATTTAAATAAATATGGAAAATTCGGAAAGTGATAAGGAAAAGATAAATAAAAATGAAATTGGCCATCGTTGAGAAGAAAGACAGAAAAAATATACAATATATATATATATGTCTATAGTATGTATGTGTGCGTGTGTATAAATATTTTCTCGTCTATTTTCTTTGCTCTATACACTTTCAGCAAGATATAGATCCAATATTATATAACAGAGCCTATCAAACACATATTTATTGCCTGAAGGATAAAAATACTTTCAAAAATAGGTAATAAAAATAACAATACGTAAAAAAGTTTGTCATTACGTAAATAAACCCCATACTATTTCAACACACTACAGCTCAGAATAAAAATTATGTCTTGCACATATCAACCTCGTTCGACAGTCATTCTTCTGAGGTTGAGGAGTTGGATAAAATTTTTTTGCGTTACATGTCGCCCAAAAGCATTTCGATCGCGCGGTTCGCATCACCATGTGACGCGTGTAGCACGCCCAAAATTTCCGCCCGACTGTACTGGAGCCCCATCCCTTCGATGTAGGTTAACGAGGCCTCATAGGCAGCGGGACTACTTTCTTGTGGAACGGCCCGGTCTTCCGGAGCTGGACTGTCCCGGCCAAAACGAGACCTGGAAGACGCAGTGTCGGTTGAGAACGGACCTCCCTGCACCCTCCCCCTATACCGTAAGGTGGAATCGCCATTGTTTAGAAAAAATGACGAGAAATCGCCATGCTCAGTGATTTCCTCTCCCCTACTGAGGTTATCCACGGTGATGCGACTGCCGCCCTGGCGGTTTGGTGTGGGGCGGCTCGACCGGGGGCCGGGGGGGGCGATCGATCCCGAACGCGGCCCCCCCCGGACCGTACGCCCTCGCTCGCTGCTGCTGCTGC